GATCCTCAATCCCCTAATCCATACATGCAAGAATATTACTGGTTATGCTCATGTTGGCCCTCAGGGGTGGCATCTCCAGCTGAGGAAGGACCATGACTGCAGGTTTGTATTGCCAGGTCTCAAGGGTAACCTCCACACTGCCCATATGGCTCTACCCAAAGCATTTTCAGGAGGGCTGTGAATGAGATGCCTGGAAAAGGCATATGACGTATGTAGCACTCAGCAAGAAGTGTGCCTGAGACAAGGGAGACACAGCCTGGGAGAGGACCAAAGCACTAGAAGAGAAGTCACACCTTGGGGAATGAAAGAAAACAAGGAAACCAAGGTGGAGAGAAGTAATGAGACAGACAGGATCTGAGGAGGGCACAATCTGGTAGGCAAACAAGCCGCAGCTTTGCAGTAAGCATTGCTGGGTGTAGGTTTATGGTTTTCTCTTTCCTCTTGATTTATGTTTTCTTGCTTTTATTTCTCCCTAGGAGATTGAGTGTCTGTGTGAATTCAATGGCAAGGCTCCTTCTCCCAAACTCAGAAATACTCTACAGTATTTGGAATTTAAAATTCCAACTTGCAAGGCACAAAGAAAGTTCTTTTCTGAAAATGATGCCTCATTTTAATATAAAAAGTAGTAAATTAAATTCTTAAGAATAAAGAGAGATTTCCTATTCCGCTGGAGATTTCTGGCTCTTTTAGAAACATATTTTATTAGTAATTGACTGTTTCTCAAATATAACTTTTGACTGAATCATTTCTTTCAAGCAAGAAGACAGCACCCTGTGGCTGATGAAAACATTTGCAAGTGCTAAGTGTACATATCAGAAAGAAAAATATTTACCTTTCATAAAGGCATAATGGCAAGGAAAAATTCTGAAGACATTTTAACCTGCTGCTTGGAAACTTGGCACTAAGGTTGAGGGATTCATTCTTGCATGCTTTACACCCTGTGTATGAAATCACACTTGCCCTTCTCTAAGGACTTATTGAGGAGGCACTTCAGAAACAGAACATTTATTCTCATGGGGAGAATCTTAAGGCATAAGCTTAGGTGGTAGAGTGACAAATTATTTTCAAAGGATTAGCAGGAGACCTGAGCCTGTTTCCACTTCTCCCCATCTGGTGGGTAACCCTAGCTATGTTACATCAGTACATTGATATATTCTTTCTTCATTTTTGTACAGGAAAGGGAAATGTGCTTTAGAGATAAGGATGTGATCATTATAAAAGGAATAAATATGGCTATTTTCTTAAATCACAAGTATAGGACATAGTCATTACACTACAGTGCTAAAAGCTTCACAGCTCTCAACACTGGCTCAATATTCCTTCTATTTTTTTCTGTTTTCCTTCTTACATATTTCAGATCATGGAAAGAAACTTACCCTTCCAAGAAGAACTGGACAGAAATAGTATAAAGAAGTAAACATTTGAAGTATAATTAAAGAAAACTATTTAAACCTGTTGTGTGAGAAAGGGAACAGATAACAGGTTTTAGAGTGAGAAGGCATTTTGTCTTACAGAGTTGGAGGAGAAATGAAACATGCTTTATTTGAGAAATAACTTTTAACTGCAGTCTGGAAAAATATCTGTGGTGATAAAAATACATAGAAGAACTTTTTAAAAGAAGTTTTTTAAAAATGCAGTCAGGAAGAAAACAATTAGCATAGTAATGAGGCTGAATATGCTTTAACCTAGCAAGACTCAAGAAGAGAATGTTAAATAGGAGCTCAAAGAGATATTTTAAAAGAGGCAGCAGTGTTACATAGCATGTCATAGAATCACAGAATGGTTTTGTTTGAAGGCAACCTAAGGGTCATGTCTATCAAAACCCCATACAACCTGGACTTGGACACTTCCAGGGGTGCAACATCTTCAGTTTCTCTGGGTGACCCCCATGTTTTCCACATACAAAGTTACACTGCTTGTCTGATCCTCCTTCTGTGTAACTTAAACCTTAGAGTCGTAGAGGAAATAACAGGGATATTGGATGTTGTAAGTTACAGGTGTGATACATCACTGTAACCACTGTACCAATGTTAACCATAGCTAGCACTTGAAATCGAGTTTGCACATATGAATACATAGCTGCCTGACTCTAGATGTGTGTGGTTTTCTCAAAGCAGCATGGCATGCACTGTCCCACATGGTAGTGGGACTTCTTTGCACTTTACTCTGTGTAAGTTCACAGGAAGACATGGTCTTTGTCCCAGAGCATTTTAATGTCTAGCTAGAAACAATGGCATGAAACAAAAGGAGGGAAGCAGAGAGGGAAAGGGACAATGAGGTCTCAAAGTTACGTGAGTCAACTCCACATACAATGGTATTGACCTGAATCCTCTGAAAGGCTCCTGGGGTAAATAGTTTTCTGTCCTGGTATGTGTCCGGGCAGCTGGTGCTTTTACACAGCTTTGATGGTCTGTCTATTGAGTTTCATTCTGATGTGAAGGATGTTGTTTCCATTTTAAGAGAAGAGGGCCTGGTTTTGAGGAGGGAAGCAGGACTTCCACATTTACATGCCACTGAAATGAGTTTGGGAAATAAAATAAAACCTAGGACATACAGTGTTTCTGCAGCATGTCTGAGAACTATAACAGGAACTGATATTGGAGTTATCTGTCCTTCTGGACTGCAGTGCTTCTACAGTCCCAGCAAGTTCAGAGAGATATGGATATGTGGGCAGAGGCTATGGAGAGGATCTTCCTATGATTTAATTTATATTCCTTGAGAAATTAATAAAATTTAATTGCACATGACAGTCAGTCAGTATAATTTATGTGCACCATCTGTCTTACATACAAACATACTTGTGTGAAAATATTTTAGTTCCCAAAATACCTGTGTGAATAAAAATATTTTCTCATGAGTGTCTCTGGAGAAATGGTTGCAAAGATGCACAAGCCTGCTGGAAGCAAACATCTGTCCAGAGACAGAGAAAACATTCATGGCTGTTGAACAAACTTGCAGAGCTCTAATGCAGAGCTCTAATGAATAAATAAATTGTAGCAGTCTCATGCTCAGATCTTCTTCATTAAAATTGTTAGGCTCTAGGATACAGAAAAAGCCCACCTTGCACCATAATCAAGTTTTCCCATACCAAATTACAGCAAAAAGAAATAAAGCTAATTGACCTTCCTCTTCATATTAAACCACAGAATACCTGAAGGTGTGCCTTGCAAATGTTTAGAAAGCACATCATGAAAGAAGATGATACAATAGGTAGGTCACAGGTCTGGTACCCACAACAGCTGGCGAGAGCCCTTGCTTTGGCACAGAGTACCAGTGGGGTCCTGTGTGGGGACCTTGGCCTCCTCTTCCCTCTACTTGCTGCCTTCAGTGCCTATAGTCCCTTTCTGTCTGTGAGTGTGGCCATGGGAACACACTAAGGACTGCAGGATACTTGTGAAACGGTGGAGGAAGTAACACATAGGGTCAAAAAGTTTGTGTAATGCACAGGGTTCTCCTGTTGTTTGCAGGAGAAAAACATTCCTACCTGGCTAGAAAAAATTCAGCCAAAGTTCCTACAGACATTGCATCTGAGCTTTTCAGGGCACAAAATCTATAGGTAGCTCGTCTGCTATTTCTCTGTGTGAGCACTGCCAGCTGAATTCTCAATGCTTCTGTGTCCTCTCTTACTAAGGGTGCTATTTATAGCCCCTCTGGCTGCATTCCACCTGAAGGTCAGATTGTTTACAGGGAGTAAGGATATATTGTGTTTTTTAAATAGAGAACACATATTTTGATTCATTAAAAAGAACGCCAATTCTTTTCCCTGCACAAGATAATAGACAGACCTTACTCCTTACTCACAACAAAGACCTGGCTGCAAATCCAAAGCATTCCAGAGAGCAGGGATGGATAAAAAAATGGGAAAGTTCAGTAAGGGCTTTCACATGCATGCAGGAAAGTAAAGAACATCCAGCTAATAAACACAAACAAATACCAATGAATGCAATGGCATTTCTGTCCATTGAATACTTAACCCTGGTTTTATGTTTGTTTTTCTTGCAGTGACTCCTGCTCTGCTACTAAACAGCATATGAAGTTTCATACTTTCCTGCACACTTTCATACTCTGCAGGCAAGCTATGGCTCCCATTATTTATTTTCCAGTCACAGAATTCTTTACTCTTTCCTTCATTGGAAGCAGGATTGGCTCGAAAGTTCTTGGGTTCTACCGCCCCAAACAGAAGAGGAAAATGGCAGATACTGCATAAAAGTAAAATGTTGTTTCAGATATATTGTATATTGTATTTTTTTTCTCCAAGTTTCACATGTAATACCGAAGTACTTCATGTCCTGGTGAAACAAATGAGTCGCTGACCATAAATTATTATGGTTCTCACCTTTCCTCACTGCTTTTTAGATCTTCATCTTCTCCTTGTCTCAATATAACAAGGGGGAAAATGTCACAAAGATAAGAACTGGTCTCTCCATTCAAATGCTTAAAAACATAAATAAAGAAATGAGCCATTCTAGTACTTCTATAGACCAGTCCTTTGCAGAACAAAAGCACATGGAACAGGCAGAAACTTACATGTGGACCTAGGTAATTCACATCACTGAGCAAAGAGAGCTATTTTTGGCAATTAGGAAATCAGGTGTCCTGAGAAAGAAATCTTATCCAGCGTATGTAAAAGAGGACAGTGTATGGCCAGTGAGCTGATTATAGGCTCAGGCTTAACTGGAGAAATAAGGTCTTCAGCCTCTCCTCTCCTGCTAATTCCAGCCACTGCCATGTCACATGTAGTTGCAGCAGTACAGCCTGCCCCTGAAATTCAACCTTTCAAGAGACCTTTAAATCTGATCTCCTCCTTCCATTACTGAAACTACTGCAAAGTTAAGAGCCTAAGGAACCGGGGAAAAAAGATTCTTTTAATTTTTTTTTTTTTAATTTAAGTGATTGGAAAGGGCTGTTTCATACTTATCACCCTGTGAAGGCATCCAGGGAATTGAGGTTGGAGCAGGGTAGGTTGGTCAGGCTGAGGTCTGTCCAGGCACATGGCAGTGGTGGCAACTCCCTCCAGTATATGAAAGGAGCATGAAAGCCTTCCAGTACCTGAAGGAAACCTACAAGAAAGACAGACAGGCTTTTTAAAGGGCATGTAGTGACATGACAAAGGTGAGATGCTTTAAACTGAATCAAGGTAGGTTTAAACTGGATATTAGGAAAAAATTTTTACTGTGACCGTGGTTAGGCTTGGGGACAAGTTGCTCTGAGAATCTGTGGATGCCCCATCCCTGGAAATATTCAGGGCTGGGTTGGATGGGGCTTTGAGCAACGTGGTCTAGTGTAAAGTGTCCCTGCCCATGGCAGGGAGGTTGGAACTTAAAGATCTTTAAGGTTCCTTTCACCCCAAACCCTTATATGATTCTATGTAAAGAAAAGATGCAGACTCCACAGCTGAATTTGTTAATGTCCTGTGAGCAGGGAAGCTCTCATGGCTCAAGTCAAATAATGAACTCTGTGGGCCCAGGACTTAAAGTTGCTTCTTAAAAGATTGCTTGGTATAACAGAAAACCATGAGTTTCAAAAAATTAATCTTACTTCAGACTACAAGAAACTGGAAGGTGCAGGTGGGAAACAAGTTCAAGGAATGATTAAACTGTGGTCTGCCCAACAACTGTGTTCACCGATTAGTCTTTCAGCACAGCACAAGTATCTCTGCTGCTGGCGCAGTTTGAAGTACAGAAGAACAGTCTTGTTGTTGTTATAGGTTTGATCACTAGAAAAAGCTGCCAGATGCCAAGGAAGTCCTAAGAAAAAGACTGTCTAGTTTGATGGCTGTTAGGGAGCTAAAGTTCATTATGAGGAGCATACAGGGCTAGAAGAATTTTCAGCCTGAACCGATATGGCTTTTCTCCCCCCTTATGTTACGTTCTTATTGCAGCACTGGATGACTCTGTCTTATCATGTGTAAGGATTGAGCTCAGCTACCACATACTTCCTACATGAAATCATCATGTTCCAGGTATCCCAGTACTTGCACACTTGAATCAGCTGAGGCTGATCTCACCTTCTACTTTTTATGCGTCCATCCTTGAGATCAATAGAAAAAAGCCACCACACTATGATTATCTACTTAGCAACTTATTCAAGACAAAGCAAAACTACCTACAGACTTGAACACCTTCAGGACCAGGTAGAGAGATCTGGACCCAGGTATAGTCCAGGTCTGTATTGCTTTTGTGTGGCCAGGTTTTGGTAGAGTGGGGGGACTATAAGAGAGGATTCTATGAGAAGCTGACAGAAGGTTCCCCAGCATCTGACAGAGCCAATGGGCACAGATTGGACCCACCACTGGCCAAGACTAAGCACATTAGAGAAGATAATAACACCTCATTAACATATTGAAAATATAACTTTTTTAAGAAGGAAGAAAAAGGATTTTGAAGATGTAGTTTCACTCACAGAAGACCAGAGAGAAAATATGTAAGAGGAACAACCCTGCAGACACCAAGGTCAGTGCAGAAGGAGTGACAGGAGATGTTCCAGGCTCCAGAGCTGAGGTTCCCTTGCAGCCCATGGTGCAGACACGGTGAGGCAGCTGTGCCTCTGCAGCCCCTGGAGGTCCCTGGGGATGCAGAGATCCACCTGCAGCCCCTGGAGGAGACCCACGCTGGATCAGGTGGATGCCTGAGATGAGGCTGTGAGCCTGTGGGAGGCCTGTGCTGGAGCAGGGTCCCAGCAAGGACCTGCCCACCCATGGAAAGAGGAGGCCGTGCTGGAGGACTTGTTCCTGGTAGGACATGTGACCCTGCAGGGAAGCCCCACTGGAGCAGGTTGTACTTGAAGGACTGCACACCGTGCAAAGGGACCCACACTGGAGTAGTTCCTGAAGAACTATAGTCCACGGGAGGGACTCAGGCTGAAGTTAATTAAAAACTGTGTCCCATGGGAGGAACCCCACAATGGAGCAGGGAAAGGATTCCTCTCCCTAAGCAGCACCAGGGACAATATGTGATGAACTGAGCATAACTTTCATTCCTATCTCCCTGCACCACTGCAGAGAGGAGGCAGCACCCAGCAAGGAGAGAGAGGTGGGAACAAGGTGTTTTTTTGAAGATTTGTTTTATATTTCATTATCCTGTTCTGATTTTTGATTGCTAGTAAATTCTAATAATTTCCCCACGCCAAATCTGGTTTCCCATGACAGTATTCAGTGAGTGATCTCTCCATATCCTTTACTCATGAGTCTTTTGTTTTATTTTCTCTCCACTGTCCAGTTGTGGAAGGGATTAACAGAGACTCTGTAGTGGTTACCTGGTATCCAAGCAATTATTGTAAAGCCTTGGTAATATTTTAAGAAAATTGATACCAACCTTATTAACTTTATTAATACCCAGGGCATTTGTGCATAGTTTTCATCAAACATTGCTTTACTGGATGCTTTAAACCAGTTGTGGTGGTGGTGCTAAAATGTTGTGGATGGCAATGCCAGCCCTCACACTAGCCAGAGGAAGCCAGAGATTGTTGCTTGACATGGCCTCTGCCAAATTTCAGCAGTTTGAAGAGACTTTGTGAAGTAGAGAAGTGAGAGAATTATGGAAGGGAAAGAGATACTCTGCTGTTCACTGTGATTGGTTTTGAACTTTCTTTTGGACAGTGTTAATGTTGGCAGCCCCAAGCTCGCAGCCTCTTTTGGGAGCCAAGTCCCAAGAAGTCATGACATCATGACATGTGCTAAAGAATTTAGTCTGGGCTTTTTAGCACCATCTCTTAGACTGAGCACATCGCCACTGATTTCTGAGTCTCTGAGTGCACACATGCAAGGAAATGCATTCCCCTGTAGAGAAGTTTATTGCAGGATAAACAAAAATTTTCCCCAAAAATCTTTGTATATTTTTAAACATCAGATGATGTTTCTAATTAATTCTTTTCAGATAAGTCCTAGGCTGCTAGCAAAGCATTCATTCATTACAGAAAATTTGTGGTACATTTTTAACAGGTGTAAACAACCTCTGTTTTGTAGATAAGTTACTTGGCCCTACAAGACTACAAGTATATTAACAAAGCGGGGGGCGGGGGGTGGGAAGACACAAAACTTCTGTATGATGCAGTGTTTCACCACAGCTCATTTATGTTCCCTTTTTTTATTAAATACCAGACTGGGAAGTTAAGGTGAGCCTGGGTACTGGTGGCTTCCCAGGTGGAAGGTGGAAAGTGCAGGACATACTTGCCTACAGAACAGGCTTGAGCTTTCTTTGTGTGCTGCTCTTTTCTTAAGCTTATGAAGCCTGATTATGTTAAAAGCTGAAAACTAGCAATTTAAATTTCCTAAATGCCTTTAGAAAACCAAGAACTCAGCCACTGCCAAGAGAAACATAACTTCCTGAAACTGGACAGCATTGCTTGGGTTTCCTTTGAAGAAAAAAAAAAAAAATGGAGAGCAAGCCAAATGCCTGAAATATGTAAGACAGAGCGATACAGAGTTAAGGGGAAGCTACATAGGAAGCAAAGCAAAGCCCAAAATAAAGAGCAGGAATGGAAAACTAAAAATAACAAACAGGAAAGTGTGACACAGCTGCAAGGGCTCTGGTGCATTCTCCCCCAGCATTGTACCTTTTTTTTTCAGGAACATACTAATAGTGTGTTTGGATTTCAATGGCATTCCAAACTGTTATTTGTTCTTCAAAAATAGATGTTTCTCCTGTGAGGAAGAAAGATATTTTCAAGTAATGTTCATAGGATTTCAGTTGTTTCAGTTTATCAAAAATGCTTTAGTTAGGCTCAGTGTTTGCAGAGGAGAAAAACTGCATTGATTATGTAATTTTTTGAAAAATTAGTCTGTCTCCTTAGAATAACCAAGATAAGCTCATGCATAATCAACTGTTAATTTCAATTGAGTTTTTACTTAATAGCTTTCAAAAGTAGAAAGGGAGCAAACACACAAATCTGAGATGCAATCACTTTGGAGGCATAGTGAATGGAAGGGGGATTAGGGAGGATTAGGAACACCATGTACTAATAAAGTTAAGGAAATCTCTGTCTTTTTCTTTATGCAAACACAAGTTTGTTTGTTTACATAGAGCATTTTGGGACCAGGAAGGCAGCTCAGGGGATGTGGTGCTGCCTGGACTGTGGCTGGATCCCCGCTGGTGCCTGCAGGAAAGCCAGTCTCTCCAGGCATGGGTGCCACACACCCACCCAACCATGACTGAGGTACTCAGCACGAGTACAGGGGTAACTGACAGCTGCTGACAATGAGAGGGCAAGAAATATTTCAGCATTTGCCTGTCTTGCTGTTTTAATACTTATTTGATTGCTAAACTCACCCATCCTGAAATAATTAAGCCAAGTAGTTGAGTTGTGCATGGTCTCTGGCCACCCAGAAGAGAGATGGTGCCACTTTTGGAAGATAAGAAAAGCATGAACACACCAGTGTGTCAGACACAGTTTCTTGGACAGTGACAAACCCTTGTGAATATCACATTAAGACAGGCCAAAGTGAAAATCATGATGTTTGTGAAGTTATCTGTCCAATTTGTGAAATTCCTATTTTTGGCAGACACAACAAGAACAGGAAATATTTACCAATTTTGCAGGTGTCAGGAAATATTTTCAAATTGCTGGTGTGACCTGACAGTCTGTTTAAATAAATACCAAGCAGGTACATATATTTTAATTTAAAATATGTATTTTGATGTGTTTGCTCCAATATCTGTGTCCTTGCAGGTTAGAGTGGCAAATTCATATTGTTAATCACACTCTAGTGATTAGGCAGTGATAAATCTCACAGTACCAGTGTGAACACAATAGTGTCTCACAATACATTATACAAGCTTTATATAATGAAATCATTTCTCACAGTTTATGTTGATAAGAATATTTTTCATTAAAAGTTTATCTACACTGGAAATATATTTCTTACATATTATTTTAATTGTGGGTGAAATACATCTGAATATATTTTAGGCTTTTCTATTCTATGTATTTCAGACACTGCTCTAAAACATTTGATTATATATTGCTTGAATTGTAATGGTGTCTGCAACACCCTATAATACAGACTGTAATGCAAACTGCATTAAAGCACAGTTCTTATGAGTGTCATCACGCATTAGAAAAAAAAGAGAGTTGTTGCATATATTATACAGCTTACAGTTCAGCAGCTGAGAAAGTAATAGCTACCTTCCAGAAAATGAGGCCTATTTGCCAAACATGTTCATACTATAAGTAATATATGACCCCACTGAAACCAAATTAAATACTAGATGACAGGACCACGTTCTGTGATGATCCATTTCACAGCTTTTACTTCAGGACTAGTAGTGGATTTGGCAGTGTCAGGTTAACAGCTGGACTCAAACGATATTAAAGTCTTTTCCAACCTAAACAATTCTACTATTCTGTAGCTCTATGATAATTTCCACTATGTATTATCCTGGTGTAGTCCCATTGTCATTGGTAGCAACAGATAAATATTTCAATGGATAAAGGATAAAATAAAAGGATGTAATTTCAACCTGAAATCTATTCTGTGTGCAACAAACTATCACTGAAGCAGCTAAAGAGATACAAAAGCATTTTATAAATTTGATGAAAAAGAGTAAAATTTGTCCAAAAATGTTTTCAAGGCATTCTTGTCCATCTCCTCTCTTCTCCTGTCTTGCCGGTTGTGGATTCACAGGTTATTCCTGTATGAAAAGTAAAAGAGTATGAAAGATTTTCAGACTGTGACCAGAGCTAAATAGTCCCTGGCATGGTAATGGCCAGGCCAACTGGAAAAGACAGATTTCAAATCCTTCCTGTACTGGGATTGGCCAAAAAGTGGCTGTTCCAAGTAGGCAGCTGTGATCCAGCCACCTTGTTTTGGAGATGAAGGTGGTTGAAAGATGAAGGTGTGGACATAAGTCCTTCTGTACATGGGACACCACTCATTTTCTGCAATCATGAATGGTCACAGAAATTTGCTGAAATAGATGTCGTGAAGCTGTTTCTGTGGATTTGAGACCAAAAGCACACCTAACCTGCATGCACCGTGGCTGTACCATCACCAGCAGGCTTACTCTGTCTTAATAGATAGACACAATAGACAGTGATGCTTTCAGTTGTTGTTTTTTTGATTTTTTTATTGAACAATAATAATATTACACTTTTTAAAACCAACTGACTTATTAGATTTACATTCAAGAATTCATAATGTCATTTATGACACTGTTGCAAAATATTAATAATGTATGCAGTATTTACTACATTCTTTAAATATTTCTCATCAGTCTGCTGGAAGACCATGGATTTGATCCTGCTCTCACTGAAATCAAGAAAAAATTACTTTTGATATCAGTAGATTAGAATCAATTCACTTGCTAGTAAGTAGCCCAAGAAAACATTATTCCCTCTCATACCCTAACATTAAGTACTGGTTAAAATGTGGTATTATGCTAGTTTGAGATTTACGTTTATATGTCTCCAATTATCATGGCAAGAAAACCTAGACTTTCATCGTGACATTTGGATGTCTGCTGCTGTCATCATCCTCTTGTTCCAGATCAGCATGATCCGTGCCTGCTTTCCCAGGTGAAAGCATCCTGCTTTCACAGATGTTGACTTTGGATCTCTTTAAAGGCATCAGAGTTTCTGTTGTTTATAGTTTTAAAAGCATGATTTCAGATCCTGAACTAAACTCTGGCTGCTGTACTGTGTGTTCTTTCTTTCACTGCAGTCAAAGCTCAGGTTGATTTCAAAGGAAATGTTAAAATCAAGCCGGACTTCCAATGAGAATGCTCTGTGTTAGAAGGCTGTTCCTAAACTCATGGCATCCAAGTTCACTCTGACACAGCAACGTCAATTTTCATTGTCTGTGGATCTGGTTGTCTTCAGGCATATTAGCAAGCCCTTCTCAGTGGTAATTTTTAGCTTAAACAAATGTCACCCAGCTTAGACTGAATGAGGGGCTGCCTGTTCCTGCAGCACTCTAACACATATAAGTTTTTCTCCTGGCTGAAATGAGACCGCTTGCTCATGCAATTGAGAAACAAAGGACTGGGTACCAAAATACTGTAGTCTGTGGGTGCACTATCACTTGCTGAAGGTTCAAGTCTTCCCTGGTTCAAATAAACTCCCTGTGAGTCACATCTGGGCCATAGCCAGTAAAGATAGAAAGCGTAAAGGTCCCTTTGCTGGCCTCTCACCACTCTTCCAGAAAAAATGCAGATATCACCTTAATGACACCAACTAGCTGGTTTATAGAAACATATATATTTAAATAATGATAAGCAGCTTTTTTTGTTTCAGATCCCCTTCTACAAATCGGTAGAATTTACCAATCTGCTGTTTCTCTGTACAAAATTTAACTTTAGAAATTCAACTAAATACAATATATGTCTGCAGTGTCTTGCCTAAGTTATTCACAATGTATAAACTGAAGTGCTACATGTTTTCTCTCTGAAAAAAGGCATATTTTTCTCTGAGGAATTGTCACCAAACTTCCAAAAACTAGGAAGATGTTAACAGCTAATGTTGGTTTATTTAATTTACACTGTTGTGCTTTTGTTGTTTTTATTGTTATTGAACAGGGGTGTTCCTTCCATCTGAGGTGTTGTTTATATGTGTTTCTTTCACAATGGTTCCACATCAATAGTATCACTCACCCAAACTGTCCCCTTCATTCAGTGAGAGATTTTCCAGCATCAGGTCGGCAAGAGTCAGCCTCTGGCACTATTTAAATGATCATGTTGGGTTTTCAGTATTACTATACATTCAAAAAGCCATAATACACTTCTCTGTTTAAATACTTATCAAAACAAATATCAAAAGTCATATACACTGTACAGTGTATTTTTAAGTAAACATTTTTCTCATTAAAAACGGGTCACGTTTGAGCTTCAGAGATTACATATTCATACATTATAGATCTACTTTGTTCTTAAAGTGTGTTGTTGCATATTCAATAATCTGTGAGAAATGCATTCACTTGAAAGTCTTACAAGTGTAAGTAAATATCAGCGAGGATTTAGCCATTTCATTACTGGAGAGCGAATAACTTTCTCTTTAACAAATTCCTCTTTTACAGAATTTCCATCTCCTGATGCCATGTCATTGTCTGAAAAAAACACAAAAGTAAAGGTGGATTTCATGAACATGAGAGCTTTAAAATACTATCCTACAGCAATGTCCCTGGTTTTATGAATACTTTGGAAAATCCTTAACTGGTATGTTTGCAGAAAACTCAGTAAATTACCTCCAATTACCTAATTGCAAAATTTCTACCAAATTAAAGCATAAGTCATATCTGTTTTCTAATAGTTTAAGCATAAGGCTGATGAGTTGACTTCAGTTTCCAGTTCTGACTGTAACACTCACTCCAGCGTGACACAGGACCAAGCAACACATCCTCAATAACTACAGCAATAAATTAAACCCCTGCAGCTATTCTCTGACTGAGGCCAGCTGGCATGGAATAGCCTGGTGTGTGCCACTAACTCTCTTACTCTCCAAAAATAGGTAAAAGATACTCAGTTTGTCAGCTGGAATGAGTCCCTGGCTGAGGCTGATTCCTAAGCTGTGACTGAGGTTGTTTGGCACAGTTAGCTGGCTGGGGACACAGTGTACAGTCCACTGTTTGACCGTGAAAGGAGTAAAATTGCAATGTACAGGACCTCTGACACCTTTCAGTTCGCTAGGCATATGTAGGCATAGTGGTCTTTGTAAAACATATGGGTCAGAAACTTGCCTGTTTAAAACACAGAAGTATTTACAGCTGTTTTAATTCACTGATGATCACTTAGATGCTATAATTACCTCTGAAGACCACTTTCAAATGAAACCCTGTGTGACCACCCCATGGACTTCTGCTCGTAGTGTCCCTGCTCTGCTAACAGTGACAGACCTCTGAGGACAGAAGTAATTGGGAAACTTTTGCAAGGCTAAAAAACACTGTTTGTTTCCATGCAGTGGATATCTCGTCCTGGCTGGGATAAATCAAGCAGTTAAACATCGAGGCAGCAGGAAGTTTGGGACAAAAGGAAAGTGAGTAAGAGAAAAGAGGAGGAGGAACTGATGCAAATAGGCTATCTGGGAAGGTTTGGAATATAGGCTAGATAGAGAAAAAAACAAGCACACTCATTATTTTGGCACCTTTAGTAATAAATAGAAGAAGGAAAGGCAAAAGAGCACAATCATGTAGCAAAATACAAAAATATCAGGGCTGATTAGGCTTGCAAGAGGTTTTTTTGGAGATTATTTTAAATGTGATAGAAGCTGCAGAAATTTGCTTCACTCTAACTTTCTCTAAGCAAAGAAAGAGAGAAAGAGAAATCTTGTATTAAGACAGTAAACTCTACACAGCTAAATATAACAGAAGAAAATTTAAAATTGCACACAAGCTGCATTGGAGAAGAAATGAAATCCAAAGATTTTTAGGTGAAACCCCATAAAAGAGGACAATAGACCTAGAATTAAATCTCTGGGGGTTTTTGAGTTTTTTTTTTCTTCTACACATTTGTATTTATTTTGGTTTGTGTTCATTTTAGAGTAAACATCATTCAGTCAAACATACTTCAGTATCATCAGGTGTGAAAAAAGGCACTTAATCCCACCTCTACAAACTTAAGTGATCTTTCCTTGGTGCATCAAAAACACTCCAGGTTGTCACACCTGCTTTTTTTTATTATTTTTATTTTAATTCTGGACATATCTATTACAAGCTTCAGACATAAATGTAAAGGAAATAAATTATTCCAGTGATACTGTGACAAATGACTACAATAAAACATTTAATAAAACCGTTCACTGACAGCTGAAAACATATTACACTCTGTCCTCATGGGGCAAAAGGAACATTGTTTTTACTATGCATTATCTAACACTAGTAAATGCAATGTAGTGAAATCCTGAACTGATGTGCAAGCCGTAGCACAGCCTCCTGCTGCACAGGTGATGTACTGCTAGCACATACAGCAGTTGCAAAATATTTCAAAATGTTTCTAGCATGTGTCACCGCTCACCTAATTCCTTGCCACATGTTAAGGAATAACAAAAATAAACGTACCTTGTGTTGTTAATGGTTTGCACAGCTCTACCAGAGTACCTACCACTCACACACAGAGTGGTAGCACATCATGGGAAAGGTGTTTTCTCCTAAAATCAACTGTCCCACAAAGTCTTACCTGTGTGTGAAGATATTTTTCGTCGATTTGGAGGCTTTGAAGCAGAAAGTTGAAAAAACGGGAACTTCAGACACTTCCCTGTTACTCTGTCACAGATGCCAGAGGGACAGTTGCAGGTTTTCCTGCATTCCATTCCATAGCTACCGTAGGGACACTCTGGAAAAAAAAAATATAACAAAGCAGTTTTCAGTGATCCAAGTCAGCTGCTGTCTTAGTAGCTGGTCTGCTTGAAAGTGGAAAACCTTTGAGAGGAGGTCAGCTAGACCTTAGCTACAGGATTTCAGCATGCTGACTGATTTTTTTACAGTATTTTCTAGTATTAACAAATATTGACACACTTTACATATATAATTTCATTTTCTGTAACTTATTTACACTGTGCTAGTGGTAATCCTTCTCTGAAACCCTCTTAGATTTAAGTGCACTCTTACATTAAATTGCCTTAGTTAAAGGTAAATATTAAACAATATGTAGGTATACAATTATAGAAGATTTCGTTTAAGGACTAGCACTGAATTTAGAAAGGAAGATAACTCCAGAAGTTCCCTGAACTCACTATGTGGTTCGCTATGATATTATCTGACTTTCATGACCGTTGGTATTTAGAGCTGAAATCTGGTGCTGGTGCAGGGCTGCTGTGGCCTGGGCCAGCAGTCTAGGAGGAGGATGCAGCCTGACCCTGAGGAGCTATCCAGCAAACTCACCATCCTCCTGGAGATGCTGCTGGGTCCTGGGGAGTAGCCTCCCACTCAACACCTTCTCAGATAGCCAAGTTCTGCCTTCCCATGGCAGAACCTCACCTGCATCTCCAGCCTAAAGAGTGACTATGCTATGAAGGGATCTCTGGCACTACGGCAACTCCCTGGTTACGCTGCATCTGGTCACATAATGCCCCAATTCAAACCTCACATCCCTGAGCAAGCTTGAGGAGGAACACTACAGAGCAGTTGCTAGATGGGAACAAATGTTTTCCAAAGAAAACAAAGTTAGGTACAGGAGATTTTCCCTATCCCATAGCTGACACATATCACATGCTGGGTGATATAATTTCCCAGAGGGTTTAAACTAGGGGCTACAGTCCTTATCTTCCTCTGCCTTGCTGTTGAATAGGATACCTTCCCAAAACCATTGCTAAAGAGGCAGAGACTGTGAAAATTCATGTCTAACACGCCCTTTCCAAACCCACAAACAGGTGATCATTCCCAGGAGAGGTTTGAGATGTCCCAGGAAGGGAAGATCTGCAGAGTTTCTAATTCACCTCCTAAGGGAAGATGAATGACTGTTCAGGGCTGGACCAAGGAACCATTTAGCCCAGGCCTCCACAAAACACTTAAGAAAGGTGACCATAGTAAGCACAAATGATACCTCTCATTTTTTCTCTCCTTTCCAGCTATGAGACCTCCTGATCCAGACATAGTTTCTTTGTGTATAACACCCCACAATAAAATTACCCTTTTCAGTTTGTTCATTCTCTTCTTGAATGAATGCAAATTTTAGCTTTGCCATACAGATAATATGAAAATCAAGCTAATGCACTATAGCTATATAGTTATAGTGTAGCCAACATTTTTCAATTCTCTGCATATCAAATGGATATATGGATTTATTCTTATAAATTGAAAGCCCTAGAAGATCAACTGGTTCCCTGAAAAGGACTGCACAGTGAGTCACTCTAGCAGGGAGAATCTTACTAGGCTTTAGCACATTCCCCTTACCAAGAATGACTCTTTGATCTGCTTCTTGCCCACATAAAACAAAAACAAAATCCTGCCCAAGCAGAAATGTTCCTGTGTGCATATCATCCCTGGGAGAACAGCAAAGAGCACACACTACATGGAGCATCAATCTGCCTGCTGCAGGTGCTCAGCCTGGAGATGTGGGATGCAAAGCTGTGCACAACAGCACAGAAACAAGTCTGAACCCAAAGCACTTGGCTCTGTGTAGAATAATCCTGGCATTGATGCGGCTTTTTAGATTTCATGAAACTGAAATCTGAGTAAATTTGTCTAAAAACCTATTTAGAAGGTTTTTTTTAATAGGATCCTGTTCCTAAATAAATTGCAGATAACTCCCAGTGGTTTCATGGAAGCAATGGCAACAAAAAGAGTTTTGTTTCAGGCCATAATGACTTTGCTATTGATAATCGTGCAATGCACTCTCCTAATAATAAAAGTTTCCCAAAAAATTTTTCTGGAATATATACTGCCCATTTTAGAAATAAGAAACTGAAAAACAGAGAGTTCAGATCGTTTCTCCAGAACTTCAAAGTAAATTGGCAACAGGAAGCCAGAGAGAATTTAGCCATCCTGCATCTGTCAGTTATTACAAACATGGAAGTTATTAAAATGAGTGAGTGACCTGATATCATAGCTGCACATGGATATATAAAATAACAATGTCTGGCCCCAGGGAGAGATTGTGCTCTCTCAGAGCTGAGATGAAGAAAGAAAAATAATTCAAAATTACATCTATAATATTTAGTGGAAATAAATACATGAGGAAGAGAAGCTTTAAACACCAATTTAAATTCTAAGTCAAGATATGGCTTTACTGAAGTTAATGAGAGTTTATCCATTGACCAACTGGGAGAAAAACCCAAACATTTTACTTCACATTTTCTACAGAGCACCCAAGATTCAGGTATGGGGATTCAGATCTCAAGTCCCATAATATTTCCTTTTTCCTATTCAAAGGGTGCTATTGCAAAGAAACTCCTATGAGGAAAGTGAAAAGTACATACTAATTCAAAACAATTGTTAATAGAATTATAGGCAGTATCTTGCACTGTAGTGATTTTTTAATAAACTGAAGATCAGTCAATTATCTCAGTAAAATATTTTCCTGGTGAGTGCATGAAAGATATAATTTTTATGTCTAAGTTCTACTCATTTGCAAGTACTGTTTTCGGTTTCACACTCAACTATGCACATGAGTTTATTTTAAATAAGGTTAAAAAGTGTGTGCTGTATGTGAATCAGCCTAAGTGATTTTTGCAGCATCAGGTCCTAAGTCATTACTTTAACTGAGTCTGTTAATACTCCTGATATTTAACTGCCAAGATATTCCCACTTTTAAGGAAGTTGTTCTAGGGCTTGTCTGTGTCTACTTACTGAAGTGGTACACAAACACAGCAAAACCCACTGCATTTATGCTTTGCAAACTCTTTTTTTAGAGTAGTTGGCTTTTTAAGAAGTTCACCCTTATTTTTACTAATGTAGTACCTTGTCACCCTTTAAAGATTCCCCTGTTTAAATGGAGTGAAAATAGCTCCTAAATGAAAAATGTGATTACAGCCTCTGACTAAAGAAATCAGCATGCAACATAGCTGGAATAAACTGAATGCAGTGCCTGGCTGCTCATCTCACAGTCAGCTTCTGTTCTGTTATTGTCATCCTTCAGGCAGGAGGGTTTCTGTTTGCCGCCCCTGACCACATACCTACGATGACTGAGCACCTCAAGGGCAGGACTAAATTAAACAGGACAAAGTCTCTAGGCACTCAGGCTGTACTGCTTTCTCCATCCCCCAGACCCCAGTGTGAGCACCTTGTCCCTGGGCAGGCAGCTGGCAGTGCCAGAGGGAGCACCACACCCAGGAGTGTGCAACAGAGACCCTGTGACAAGGTTGGACTTGCAGGATTAAAGTCTTAATAATTTATAGAAAGCCGCCCACCAAATCAATAGAAAGAGCAGGACTAGCGCCTGGGTGTCTCAAGCTCCAGTTAAAAATCTCATCTCCAAGCACACCTTGTCAGTATTTCTTCACACATGTCCCCAGGTGTAAACAATATCATCACATTAATAAACCTGCCCCAGTACATATAATGCCTTCTAATGACAGCAGGTATTTTTCCCCTTTTTCCTTAGCTAAGGGATGAGCTGTAAAAATCCCATTTTACTCCTTTCAAGCAAGAGGCAAACTCTGCATGTGTGTTGCTGTCAAATTGCCACAGCAGGTGCATACAAAGTGAATATCATTACCTTTGCAGATACCAAATTCATCACCAAAGTCATCCTCCTCAGTGTAGAACTGGCACTTCAGCCCAGGACCACACTTGACACCATCCATACCCGAGACAGTACGGTAGCAAGTCTCCCCCAGAGCAGCTGCACACACTCTGCAGCAGCCACAGTCATCCAGCACCGTTCGCTTACAGCGCGCGGTACTTTTGCATGCGTTACTGTCACAGGGATCAGGGCAATCTACTGCGTATTTCGCACTCCAAGCAGCTCCAGCAGGCACAGGCATCAGGAGGAGTGTGAGGAACAGGAAGCCCTTCATGTCTTGCAGGGGTAAATGCTCCATCCCAGAGAGCAGGTCTCAGTGCTCAGCCTGCTGGTGCCTCTTGCCGAGAGAAGCGGCGGTACAGAATCCAAAGTGGTAGCTGCACACATCAGCCTACAAGTTTATGAGCTTTATAAAGTGTGTTGCCCACATGTTGCATCGTCGTCAGCTTCCTCAATCCGGCAGCGCTGCTCCTGCCAGCCTCCCTTGTTTCAGTTTATGAAATCCAGGATGAAGGTTGGATTAGCACTCTGCTGCCATCCAGGAATTGAAAAGCCTGAGCTGATGTAATCTGTTATGTTTAGTTGGTTGTTTTGCATGAGGACTAAAAACTCACTCACATCCGTTTCAAATGCTCAAGGACGTCTGCCAAGAGTAAAAAAAAAAAAAAAGGTAAAAAAACAATCAACCCCGAGGAGGTTGCATACCTTCCTGCAGGACAGGGATTGCTCTGACGCTGGGTACAGTGCTGACAGGAGAGCTCTGCCTTGCTATCACAGCATGTATGGCCAGAAGAAAATCACACTGAATCATCTTACTGCTGAAAGAATAATCTTTAACAGAATAAATCTTTGCCATACTCTTTTAGGGGATGTGGACGGTTATTTTGGGGAATTAAATGAGATCATGTAGTTTAATAGCCAAGCTCAGATTTTCAGTAGTTTTTTCTGCCTGCATTGAAATGTACTTTTTAATCAGTGTTTAAGTGGAGGTGAATTAAACATTTCACTCAAAGGTTACTGCTAGAACTAAAAACTGGTCAGAATAAAAACATCATTTTGTGGGATCTTCCACAGGAAGTTCAGGAGAATGAGCAATGAGCTGCCCCAACTTCACAACCAAAGGGGAAATCCCTATCCATCATCAGCACTGTCTGCACAGCGCTAACATAGATCAGGGGGCTGATTCTTCTCCCCTTACACCACTTCTATTCTGACAAACTCTATGGGAAGCTCTGATGTTGCTATTCAATGAAATCGATGTAAATAAACAGAAAACAAATCTCAGCTTCCCGTCTCCTCTCTTAGACTTTCTTTATCCTGCCAGAGCCTTGACAAGAAACAGCAAACAAGAGGAGTCCAGTGAAACTGATGAGCCACTGGAGAGACGAAAATTTCTGCATTAAAAAAATCCACAGGAAAGGAAAAAAGGAATCAAGCTAGCCATAAATAAACCTCTGAATACCAAAAGTTGTTGCCAGTGAAGTTAGTGGGAACCAAAGCAAACTGAACTGTGTATGACCAGCTTGTCACTTGGGGTCCTGTGTCTCAAGTGGGCTAAGGACACTGCCAGTAGGCTGCCAAATAAAATGAAGGACTAGACTAGAAATACTGGAGAGCAGGAAAGCCTGTTCTTCATGAATGCAAATGTGAATTGATAAACCCAAAACCAAAATGCTTAACTCTTCTGTCTTGCGAAGATGGGGAAAACCAACATACTGTATGTTTCATTTGGGTAAGGTGCTCTCATGGGGGAGGGGAGGGGAGGGGAGGGACTGGCTTAGTATATTTAACACTTGTCAAAAGTCAATGTAAACAAAAAAAAATTAAAGAGTTAGGTTGAGGTCTCATACAAACCAAGGAAGTACTATTGGTAAGCATGAGCTGACAGCAATTAGCTCAATTAGTGGTAGACGGCTTTATCTTCAAAATGCAAAGCAACTATTATCTAAGAAGTGAAAGGAGTACTCCTAAGGTGGAAATGAAAATTACAGCCAAAACCAGAGGAGGAACACAAGTTTAAGATTATAAGAAGGAGATCAATTAAAATTGATGTCCTACCACTGACCCCATCACAACTGAACTATTGCAAAAGTCTGTTTAAAAAAACAACAACCCAATATTTCTTCCGTAGTTCTCAAGTCAGCAGAATAATGTAAACCACTGCCCGTGTCTGCTGGAATAGAAGTGACTAAAACTGACATTGGTTTATATTTATAGGTCAGGCTATAACCTGTGGGGCTGAGGAACCAGTGTAAATCCCACTGGGCAGTCCCTCATGTGGGAGAGAGATGTTAAATGTTCAATCAGAGAACCAGGGAACAGAGCTAAGGCCAGTAACCCCCTCAACACCCGGGCCAGATCTGCTCCTAAGGGTGAAATAGCCAAAAAAAGAGCTTTACACACTTGGTGCATAACAGGAGTAAGGAGCAGGAAAGCTCACCTGCACTTCACACTCATACATACTTACTCTCTCAGAGGAGATAACAGATGATGTGTAGTGTGCAGACCCATTCACACATATACTTAGACATTTATGCCTGGTATTAACTACCAGCTGGTAAAATCCTATTCTGTAAATATTTATAGGAAATGCTCCTTGTCTAAAACACCAAATGAGATCTGAAAGGGCTGCATGTCACATTTGGGTTTCTCACAGGAAAAATGTCCTAGAGAGATGATAAATAAAAAAATTACACACAGATGTGGTGAGAAAAAGAAATCGTAAAAGGAATCAGCACACTCCCCTAGCAACTAGCCAATATTATTTGGAGTAAGATGGAAACTGTATCCTATGCTTGGAGCTAGAGGCCAAAGTAAATTATTACAATGGATTAAAAAAATACATGTAATAGAAGAAAACAATATGAACAGATAAATATCTGGATTATATGAGTATCACAGAGGAAATAAGGATACTATGATCTTCCACACTGTCCATCCATTAAATAGTGAAATAAATCCAGTGTCACTCTCTTCGGTTTTAATGTTTCTCTGCTGTTTTACCTGTTGAATCCATTAAGCTTTCCCTTCCAGTGAAAAGTTTAATCCTGTAAAACCCTGAACTAAGGTTTTCCATGAAAATTGATGCCAAGGGAATTAATGAAGCTTCCCCAGATATCAAGAGCAGAAAATTTGCCACCATTATTTAACTTGCAGTATAAAGATATTTCAAAGGTGGAAGACCTTCTGGATCAGATCAGAGCTAATTTTTCTTCCAAATTTACAGCACAAATTGTCTTTTTGCCCGCTTACATCATAATTACATCACCATATATAATGTTTGGCACTTCTTCTAGAAGAAGAAAAGGTTTCAACCCTTGGGTTCCGTGCTTTACAGGGAACCAACAATCTAATATTGGTGAGTCATGTTTCCCGCAGAATACTTCTGAGAACTATTCTTGCATTTCTCTAGTAAATAATCTATTTATCAAGCAAAAACAGCCTATGGGACTGTCTTGGTGTTGCATTTATGCCCTTTGAAAAGTGTGACCCCACCTGTTAAAAATCCCCATGAAACAGCAATCTTCATGACACATGATTAGTCTCCTCACTAGGTTAATAGGCTTTGTTCATTTTACTTTTTAGGTAGAGAAACATTCACCTCCAGTCTTCTGAATTTAACCATTCTGGCCACTGTTACTATCCAGTCTTTTGAATGTATAAAGTTAGGACAAGCAGGAAGCACTAATATCTCTTTAAACATAGGAAAATATTTAATGCATTACCTTTGTTTCTCATTTCTAAAAGACAGTACCTAAACTAAAAATATGTTACCACACATTCCTGAACAATCCAACCTTTTCCCAGGCTTCCTTTTCAAAAAGCCACAAGCACAATGCTATATGAGAAGCAAAAATTCAAAGGGAAACACCGAAAGGAAGCTGAGCTGCAAAGTCCAAAATGAAAAGCCAGAAATAGGAAGTAAGAGATAAGAATCAGGAAAGTGAGATAGCAGCAAGGACTCCCCTTTGTATAATTTCTTTTCTTGTATCTTTTCAATGAATTGCTAATTACTCTTTGTTTCAGCTGTAGCATAGCAACTCCACTCTGGTAAAAATAGGTGCTTTGGGACATTTCCTACTCGCTGAAGGCAAGAGATGTTTACATGCCTTCTCCAGGCAGACCAGGTGCTGTGCAGAGAACTGGGTAGGCACAAACTGCAGCAGCTACCATAGAAATTACTGGATATGCTGGATTACCTGCAGAAGGCCTCAGGAATGAGAGCCACACCTTCTTTGGAGCACAGCAAAAATATGTCCACATGCAAATATGCCCGCGTGCCCATCTGTCCATGTGGCACGTTCAGCCTGGGAGCTGCTAGCCAAACCTGCTGCATGTGATTTATGCTCTCTGAGTTTGCCATTGAAATGGAACTGGACCCTGTCAGGTCTGTGCTGCTTATTGAGCCCATGTGGCACAGTCCTGTACTTCCACGGCTCCAGTCGTGGCTGGCTCTGACTGCAGGACCTCTGCCCTGTGTGGCCTCTTCACAGAACAGGTATTCCCAGGGATTTTACAATCACCGTAGTAATCTGCATAGCAGAAATCTCTCCTTTCTCTCAATTCAGGTATGAATCAAGTGAAATAGTTCTTCTATGCTTGGAGAAGGTGTTCAAGAGGCAAAAAAGTCACAGAGAGGTGTAAAAGTTCTACTACATGGCAGCAAGGGTCAATATTTCCATGGTGGGAAAATCTGAGTTTGTCACACCCAATAAATACATAGTTGATTTAAATGGGGAAACATGATGAAAAAATATGTTGTGATGCTGTTATGCTGAAAACTTTTAAAATCCTTTCAAGACATCTATATTTCCAGAGGAAGAAAGGTCTTTCAGTGCCCAAGACCTCCAAGATCTAATCTATACCAGGGAATTTCAGAACAGTACGAGAAAGTCACATATCTTTTCTATACTTCAGGAAATTTGCATCTCTGAATATAATGACTGGTCACTCACAGCCCAAAACTCTGCCTTCACACACACACACACACACACACACACACACACACCTTATCAATACCTTTGTCAGGAGCTACTTCTTTTGTGACACCTCTTGGTTCTAGAAATCTAAATCACCCCAGATATGTCATATGTACACCTAGGCGGAAATAAAGCTTGTTCACAAGAAAAACATCTTTTCAGGTCTGGTCTTCAAATATTCTGTGTCTTTATCACTAAAAAAAACCAAGATGTGAATGATGGTTCTTTGCATGTTCTGCTTAGTGGGTCAGGTGTCCATATGGTAAACAGCTTTAATGCTGAGATAATGTGGCTATTTCATCCTTCACTGTCTGCCATATTTAACTGATGTAGGAACACACACTCATTTCTCTATTGCCATGAAGCCTCTGCTCTTAGTAGGTCTCTGCAGAACTAGAATAAAATGTATTAGATTTGAAAAAGCATTTTAACCAGTTTTTTCCAGACATAAACAATAACACAACAGTCAGTAATATCACAAATACCATATGTGTTTTATCTTTTCTCTATGCAATCCAAATGGTAATTATACTCTGATTCTATGAGTTCCTGATAACTAAGCCAAATTCCTATTGAATAAATATTTTTTTTCTTGGTACCTGTGCAGAATCTGAAAATGCACTCTTTCAGTTTCCCTGGGTATAGATATTAGAGTCACATAGTT